CTATATAACATAAATATAAATCCCGTAATTTTTTTTCAATTATGCGGTAGGTACGCGTTATTTATCGTAGACTAATACAAACATTTTAAGTATTTATAATTTTTTATATATTTAATCTTTATAGATCAAGGTCTGCGAGCATTTAAAAAGAATTAGTATAAGCCATTCGAAATTAATATTAATTTCTTAAAGTCATCTGAATTTTATTTGCAACTTGCGGTACTACAAAAAACTGAACGGCCTTGACAAAAATAAGCTTCTAACAAAACTCTATAACATAAAACATAGGAATCTAACCTGTAATGAAATACCTAATCTCAGATTGTTTATGACCAAATTATTTGTTGCGTCCATTATAATTATGGTTAGCAAACACAAGAGATAACAATTGTAGCATTGGTTGCATCTCTGTGTGGCGCCAAAAACGAAAGATAATAATTTTTGTGCAAAGATCAACTTTACCTAAGAGTGCCTGACTCGCTACTCAGACGTCAATTACTTTGAATAAAATATAGAAACACATATATTAGATGAAACTAAACATTTTCCGCAGAACGATGTCATCTCGTGAGTCCATTTTTTATTAAAATTGTCTCGGATTTCTCTAGTATCGTGGAGGCGGTTTATAAATCGATTAAAAATACAATTGATATAGTTTTATTGTTTGTCCTTATGCAATTTTCTTAACTAGGAATGATTATTTATAGGCCATGCAAATACTTATTCTGGGTGGGCTCCAACCAACGGCCATCAGCGTCTCAACTCTATGCTGAGCCATTGCGCTACGGAGTCGTCAGTGATACAATAAGCTTTGCATAAACTTCATCAAATATTACGATAAAGCCTCAGTGGCAAGTACTCTTTTTTTATAGGATAAGGGTGACAAGTCAGCGCACAATCCACCTGATGATAAGTGGTTGTTGTGGCGCACATACATCTACATCTATCTTCGATTTCGAATCAAAATGCAGATGCGTTGTCAGTCGTGAGGACTAAGATGAAATGCCTCGTTTCCAGTAAAAAGGGTATCCGGTTCTCTACACTCACCATCTGAAACACAAAACTTTTAAGATGCTATTTTACGCTGGTATTCTGTGAGAGCATGGTCCTTCCCCGATCGAGCCGACCCATTCGTGCTACAAGGCTACAACTATACTATTGATATAGCTGTAGCATGGCTCTACCACGTATGGAATACATTTTTTCTGTAATAGTTTTGAAATATGATAAACTATAAAGCATATAATTATAATCTTTTGAAACATGTATAATTATAATGCATAATATTACAATTTGTAAGGCTTATACAATATGTAAATTGAAAAAGTTAGATTACCATGCATTTGTTGTCATTCGTCAGCGTTCTCAGGGGAGCTACAACAATAGGTGTATACAAAACGGTTACTTAATGTTGTGGTTAATCCTGATATACATACGAGTCGAACGAAGATTAAAAATACGAGTATATTCTAATTATTACTTATAGATTAATATTGACAAAACTTTTAAGAAATGCATCCCAACTGATACGTGGTAGAGTTGGGCTGTAGCTGTATTTTGGCTATAGATTGGATGCGTCAACGCTTTTACAAAATTCCCAAGTAAAATAGCATTAGTAACACTACACAACCTACTGTTTTTAGTACCGAGAATGTAAAGAACGGAATTCTTCCAGGTGACGGCAATAAATCTGCATTTTACCACTCTTACTAATAGAAATTAGATTATGGTGTCTATGAGCTACAGTATACATTTACCACCAGGTAGAATGCGTGCTCATTTATCACCCCTTAAACCAGGAGTAGACTTAAAAAAGATGACATGAAAAAAGAAAAATAATGTAGCATGACTCTTCTTCAATCACATGACTTTGAATTCCTTAAAATGTTAAAAACTCTAATGTAGAGCCAAGTCTAAATAGCTGTAGAAGGAATACTAGCCCTTTTATTCGCATATTTTGAGTTGTTCCCCCGTAGATTCTGCTGGAAATCTCCTTTTTAATTTATCTCTATCGCCTTTAAGGAACACACGAAATAATGTTATGAGATAATGAATGGTCATTTGCCGCTACTACTCTACCTACTACACCTAATAACACTCATTTAAATATCCCTAATCACACCACACGTATATTACTGAAATACCTCTAATTTTACGTGTAATACAGAAAAAGCTTTTAAGGATTCCCATGGTAGAGATACGTTACAGCCGTATTATGTCTGTTGTGTGAATGGTTCGACCTCTACGAATATAGTAACCTTAAAATTACATAAAACCATGGAACTTTCGTATTGTATTATGTCCAAGCCTTGGAATTTTCATTAACTAAAATTGTAGAGCTAAGCTCTACATTAAATCTCAGATTATATTAAGTGAAAAAGTAACGATATTCGGTTACCTTTACTTTTGTATTTCCATTTGTATTCTTCGTAAAAAAAGTATGACTTTAGCTTTCTAAAACAAAGGAAATAAACGATGTTTGCGTCGTCTCTATCAATAAAATGCAAATTTAAAAAAGAATGCTAGCAAATTAATTTTACCGTTAACCCATTAATATACATTCTAAGTTTAGTTAGAATGGATACCGATAGCAGTGGAGTAGTGGATTGAAACGCACAAATTTTTAGTGTTGCAGTCCGTTCCCATAATATTGTGCTTTAATTTGTTTTCTTTGTGTTTTAATTACAGGAAAGAATTATGTTTTATTTTTATATTGTTTATTATTTACGTGCTAAGCTCAACAATTTGGTTTTGTAGAACTACTTAAAGTGGTCAATATGTTGACTAACATCTTTCAATAACTTTTTTAAAAAATTAAAAAAAAAATGTCATTTGAAAACTCAAACTGTAACTTTCAGACTGTAAAATGTGAGATATCAAATACCGTCTAATTCGAATGACATAAAATAAACTACCTTTGATTAAATTATTTACTAAAAATATATTACATTATTTACTAAATAATATGCCCAATCACTTCGAAAAATTGAAAAATGCGGTAGAGCCCGGGTAGGTAGCGTCTCTTAGAAAATATTACCTGTGAGTTTAAAATTAACAAGCTTTTGATTAAATACCGTTGCCTAGCAACATATTCGATATATACAAAAAACATGAGTGCTCATTTTGCCTACTTCTTAATATTTCTCAATTAGGTGTATGTAAAAATTTGATGATACATTTTGAGAAAAAAAAATTCTCAAAATGTATCATGTGGATGGTTATTTCAATACGGTCTTAAAAAATTAATTACTTTGTCATTATAAAAATTGTGAAAATTAATTATTATGTCCAAAATGTTAAAATTTATAACAGGGTTAATAATATATTGTGCATTTTTAATTATAAAAGTAGGTAAGGAGAATATTTAATTCACTTTTAGTATTACTTAGTAGAAACGATTATTAAGGCCGCTTGTAAAGTACAGTGTACACGATAAAATCATCATCAGACCACTATTTTATATGTTTGATCATATGTTCTTTTACACTATAATTTTGCTGTCCGACTTTTTTTGAAATTCCGAACACAGTTTGTTAATGTTAGCACGTCTTGCTTAAAAATCTTAAAACCTTTATTTCTAATTAAGCTATACAACGTTTAATAAAATAAAATAGTCGTAATTATAATTTTTTTATCTGGTTCTTCTTATTTGACTGTAATTCTTTTTGTATATATTTGTTAATTTTGAACCTATTGATGATTAGAAAATAAAATTTTTAATGTAACTTTTTAGATAATATTCTGCTATACTATTAGTTATTAATTAGTCTTTAAAGGGATCAAAAAATTACATTTTTAATATAAAGTTAATACAACTTAAAAAAACTAAATATAATACAATAATTTCCACATCATATGTTTAAGAATTATGTGGAAACTATTTTAGTCTTTATAGTAGATATTTTTGTTGTTAGTTTTTACCTTTAACCAAGTTAAATTATTGAAATAAGAGTTAGCTCATTAAATAAAACTATGTTTACGTATTTTTTCAACAGTGGTAGAGCCACGCGGCAGCTGTTGCTGTTGCACGGATGGGCCGGCTCGAACCGGGGTGGTACCACGACCTCACAGAAAACCAGCGTGAAGTAGAGGTTTACCTCTGCGTTTCGCTTGGTGAGTGCAGGTGGCCGGAGGCCCTTTTTACTGGAAATGAGGCATTCCATCTTAGTCCTCACGGGTGACAACGCATCTACATTTTGATATGTAATAGAGGATAGATGTAGATGTTTATGGGCCGCAGCAACCACTTACCATCAGGTGGACTGTGTGCTCGTTTGGCACCCTTATCCTATAAAAAAAAAATTTTTATCGCGTTTAATTTAGTTATTTTAATTCGCGACGTTTCGGGTGCTTTACAGCAACCCATGGTCACGGATGGGGCTGAAACGTTTGACGTCCTGATGTCACAGTCAGCCCGGCTACCTTCACTTTTTGAATATTAATTTTTGGTTCGATCTACGCAGAATGAGCTTACAGTATCTTGAAATCTTGCTGTATGCTTGGGTTTGGATTTAATTTTATTAATTATATGATCACAAGCAGATGGCAGCACCCATCCATCTTCTTTATTGAAATTAGGATGTTTTTGAATTTCAATAGCCTCGCGTATCATCTTTGGTAGGAATCGGTGTTCTTTTGCGAGGATTTACAATTTTAAATGTCTTATTATAAATTATTTCTTTAATTCATTTAACTAACACTTAATAAACGACTATCAAGAGGCGTTAAATTAAAGCTTAATTACTGAAGATCGCGAAGTGACGAAAATAATTAATATCAGGACTGTTTAACAAATTGCGTAAATTTTCATACAGGTGCATATAATCATATTATGTGCATGGTACGAAATGAACGCTCCTTTGCATATTCCAATTTTAGCCATAGAGTTACCTCGCTCTGTTTACTCGCAGACGGTCGAATCAGACAATCTGCGAATGCACCCGAATCCGAACGCCAACACAACACACCGCGTTCGGTGCCCGATCGGTTCTCCTCCCGTCAGTCCGGAGGTGTCCGCGGGCGGGGCGGCGCGTGCGGTGCGCGCCTCGCATTTGCATTGTTTTGGCTCTACATCTACATGCCATTGTTTAATTCCATCCGACGACAATCGATACGACATTGATGCAAAACTGCATGGCCTACAGCATTGCACTGTCTTGTATTTTAATTGCATAATATATTATGACAATAATGTGTTTTATCTGCTCGTATGTATGCTAGTGAGTACACGAGAAGGTGATTTATTGACAAGTGAAACTTTTGAGCGTTCATTCATCTCTTGTGTGTCCCGTCTATGTTTTATCACCAAACTGCAAACGTGCAAGTGATCTTCGTTGTAAAGGAAAGCATGCAAATCAATAATCGAGTGGATGCCCAGCTGCTAGTAACCGAGAGCTTTTACTGTGAAGTTTATTACACGGTTGCATATTGATTGGTTCTCTGCTGGTATCACTGGTAATACGAAATAACGGTAAGTGTACATTACTTTAAAATATACATAAAACCAATATAATTTTATCACGTGACTTAAGATACGAGTATTATTTAATTTTCCTAAAAGAATTATAATTCACTTACATGAGAAATGTTTACAGTGTTAGCTTAATTCAAACGGCACGACACTAACAAAGTGATAACAAAATAAAAAGACACTGTTTTCTTGTTAAAACTGTTATAAGTACATGGTAAAATGATAAATTTAATGATAGTAACGTAATGTTGTGATGAATTTATTCCGTTAACGTCAAATGAAATTCACGGTAAGTATTTATAAAAAAAATATACACGACTCACTCAGAGTTTCTAATTAACTCCTTAGTTATTCCAAAGCGCTCCCGCATTCCTACAGTCTGATGTATGTACCTATTAGGTACAGAGATTTTTCAATATGGTTCTTATGAGAAATAAAGGTAATTATAAAACTTTTCAATTACAAACAATAAACTAAAGACGCTTATTATATGATAATTATTAAGTAAGTATAAGGGAATACGTAAGAAACAAATCTTGTAACAATATAGACATGGGATACACGCTCTACTAAAAAATATTATCTAACAATGATATCGACTGAAACGCAAAGAAAAATCGAGATTTAGGGTACAGTACTCAAGCAGCATATTGCTGTATTCATTAACAATGCCATTTCTCTTATAGTAGAATGCTTCTTCACAGTCACTTAGAAAGCCGTGTGCATACAATGATGCAGAAATCATGCTCACATAAGAAAAGCATAAAGGATGCCTCATAAAAAAATATTGCGTGAGCTTTACAAAAAGCCCATCTAAGTTTTTCCTCTTAAATCGATACAAAAAGCACTGCGTAATAGCTAAAGATAATCATAATATTCCACAGACACAATCCCAGAACATTGTAACATCTAAATCATACAGTTTAAGCGAAAGGAAAATTAAAAAGAATTGAGCATCGAAGTACAATGTTGGTACGGGTCAATATAATCTGGCTCAAAGTCAATAATGTTATTATAAACAAATTGTGGTTGTTATATTAAGCGATGACACACGTCTGTCGTTATGTGTTGTTACTGAAGTCTACAGAACCGTAATTCCAAGAACTGTCTACAAAGAGTAGGTAGGTAGTAATGTTAATAGCTAATAATTTTTTCAATCTGAATATTTGTCTATAAATAAATTCAATTTAATTTTGTATCTTTTGAATTATATTTAAGACTTGATTGATATTAAATGAACGCTCTGGAGCGTCTATTGTAATGATATTTTCATTATTATGTTTCATGTTCGTTGATATATTTGAATAACTTAATTCTGCTCCTACATTCAAAATTCATTTTGTTTATTGCCGTATACAGAAACAGAAACAGGAACTTTTTTTATTCAATATAGATTATAAATAATACTTATTGTAGGTCACTCTTTTGTTTAATTACCACTGGTTCGTAAAAAAACCTCTGTCCTGGGAAGAACCAGCAAGAATCCCAGCGGGACTTTTTTTTTAAATAACAGCTTACAATCATGTAATCACAATTAACCACACAAAACAAATTAGAAATATCTTGGTAGCGATCACCTCATTCCCAGGGGTTATTATCATCCATAAATTCCTTAAAATTATAATAACCCGTTTTATATACAAACTTTGTTTAATAAAGTTTTTGAACTTTGAGCAGGTTAAATTATGTATAAATTCTGGGATTTTGTTGTAAAAGCGTATACATCGCCCCAAGAATGAATTACTGACTCGGTGGAGTCGAGTAACTGGTACTTACTAGCTTGTGTCTGTTCCTAGTATTTACAGAATGAATACCACCTAAAATATTATTAAACAAAACAGGGCATTATTTTTGTACTCTGTTATTTGACTATATCTACTTCTATTATTTTATACAGCTATATTACAGTAAAAAAAGAAAGAAAGAATGAAAGCATTGTCAAAAAAATCCAATACAATTAGGTTAATTTTGTTTAAAGAGTCTTATTTATACATATACATAATATAGGAGTGATTGTCTAATGTATTGAAATAACTCTGTCTGTATATCTGTCTGTCCGAGCTAATTTTGAGAGCAATGTCAGAATTGTTCACTATGTGTTCGTGAAGTTTAGAAAATTTTAAAAAGTGTTCAGGGCTATATTTTATATATAAAACCTGGACATTTAAAAAAAAACGAAAAATTTCTAAAATAATTAGCTTTTAAATGTCTTAAATCTAGACATCCTATCCTACCCAGACAAAGCCGTGGTGGGTCGTTGGTTATTAATATTTTTATATATATAATATAATTTTAACAGTGGTAGAGCCACGCGACAGCTTTTGCTGTCGCACGGATGGGCTGGCACGAACCGGGGTGGTACCACGACCTCACAGAAAACCAGTGTGAAGTAGAGGTTTACCTCTGCGTTTCGCTTGGTGAGTGCAGGTGGCCGGAGGCCCTTTTTACTGGAAATGAGGCATTCCATCTTAGTCCTCACGGGTGACAACGCATCTACATTTTGATTTGTAATAGAGGATAGATGTAGATGTCTATGAGCCGCAGCAACCACTTACCATCAGGTGGACTGTGTGCTCGTTTGCCATCCTTATCCTATAAAAAAAAATGTAATATCAACATTTTGCTCACCTATATTTATTATATTTAACCTAACACACCTACATTAACTTTACTTCATGAAATACATTTAAATATTATATAACTTTCTTTACTTAGATTCAATTTGGCTGATGTCATCTCAATTCTTTTGAATGGGATTAAAGCGTTATTAACATTGCGTATCAGTCTACTATTCTTGCTCGTCGTTGCCGCCTACCTGTTCGACCTTATGGTTGGGATTCAATTTCATCTGGAACAATGGAACTGGAAACGAGATCTACGACGCAGTACAATGATATTGGCATTTTATAATACTCGTACTAAAGACCTTTTAAACCTACTAATTATGCAAAACAACGCTAACTGTTCATATTAATATGATGTTAGTTTAATGAACGTCACAAGATTTTAATAAAAGACTTTTATTTATTTGTCAAATTATTATTATTTTATAAATCCATCTAATTGTTATTATTTTTATGTCCCTATACCATGTTATGCGATGCCAAATCCTTTCTTTAAGCATTTAACTTTTTAGTTTAGTTTAATTAAAACATTCCCTCATATCATATAAATATTTGCGCAAAAGACGGTCAAGGATCGCAATACGACGGTGTTGACAGGCTGAAATATTGGAAAGTTGGCCTATGGATTTGATATAAGAAGAACGTTGAAGTATGAACATGACATAAGGACCGATGTATTAAAGGTGATTTAATATTTATTATTCAATGTGGAAATAATCTTGTTGAATGTTCAGATTTAGTCTCTTCCTTAATGTTAAGGTACCAAGATCCAAAAATAACAAAGCAAATATGTAATTTTTGTTCTAAAGTCTTGCCGCATTGACTTGGGTCACCAATCTCTTATCTGACGCATGGGCATTGAATATAAGAGTTATTTTATTATATTCGTGTCCATCGTTTTCCTCGTTGAAATAATTGTTACAAGTATAAGGTGTTATTTGTTTCTATTTTCTTTATTGTTGCAGTTTATAATACATATTCGTGTTTTTATTGGGATTTATTTAAAATTTGTAATAAAATATTACTTTGCTTAAGCATGTTGCACTCAACTATAGTTAGAGCGAAGCATTTTGTTACTTTTTCATTTTTATAAATTTCATTTGTTATGTGTTGTATCACCTTTGTTGGTGTGCCAATTAATAAATAATAAAAAACTAATAAATAAATATATCGCCTCAAATTATAGACAAATCAATACTTTTTAGGCAAAATTTACAATACAACAATGAATTATAAAGATATTGCCACGTGCAAATAATTTCCATAACGTTAAAAACTAAAAGTTCTATAAAATTCCCCAAAATAGATGTTATAATCGATGGCTCAAGTTTCATGTAATATAATGTGGGATAAGTCTCAAAACGCAGTTAAGAAGCACACCTGACCGGGAAGAGAAGGGAAGGCAACCAGTTTCGCCACCTGGTCGTTTTACGACGCAACTGAATCACAGAATAAATGTATGGCTGAATCCCATCAAAAATATATTTTTAACAAGACAACATCACACTTTAAAAGTTAAATCGTGAGAAAAAAAAAGATAATTACGATCTATTACTATGTTAATACTTAGGTATAGCGATATATATTTTGCGGAATCCAATAATTTCCACAGCATATAATCGTGGCTTAATAGAAGCGTCGATAATAAATGATGACTTAACATTCTCTTTGTTCTATCATTAAATAGTGGAAAATACACTCTCTATGGTATCTTAACAATGCGAAAAAGCATGGGTGACTTAATATCAAATTGTGTGAAAGTTGTAGATGATGCAATGAACTGTTGCTCTAAAAAATGTTTCTTACTACAAGGCACTAGCAGGTTTATAATTAATTGTTCGGACATTAACATTTACATTTACTTAACATTTTAAAAGTAAAAAAATAAAGACCATTCCTAATACTCAAACTTAAAATATCTCAATTTTTTTAATACAAAATACTGAATACATCCCATCCGTGATTTGAATCGTTTAAACTTACTGTTGTGTGGTCGGACCACAGAGGGTCGGACATTCCAATGATCCTCGTGATTCATCATCCCTTTATTTATAACAACGTTTTTAAGGTAGAAGTTGAAATGAGAATCATTTACAGAGTTAACATGGAACCAAAATGTGTGTATATGCATTGTATATATATTCAAGTAAAATTAAATGAATATTAAATTATTCAGCTCATTCTAATGTCTTTCTTCTAATGTTATCAAGTTGTTATTTTAGGCTATTACAATATCCAGTACTGTTATTTATAGTAAAATGGTAACTTTATTATTTTAGACATGCTACAAAAGTAGAAATCTGCCAACATTCCACATTACCAAGACTGTAGTCGCTATTTGTGGTCGACCGGTTGAGCCAGATTGTTTTGTCCCAT